TCAAAGTCAACACTTCTTTTCCCCTTCCCAGTTCCTTACAGAGAAGATTATTTCTAATTTAGTCTTTGTTTCTCCTTAGATGGTTGAGTTTCCAGGTGACTGGGTAAGTCAGGCAATAGTAATAATAGAGGTTTTGCACTATGTAGTGCTAGATAAAATAACAACCAAAGGTAGATAAACTTTATATGAAACAAGTAAAACACTTCACTAAATTAGAACTGAGTAAACACTTTTTACCTTGATTTACCTTAACCTTCTCACTAAATTTTTCAGACAACTTGCTGTCTTAAATCTTCTATATGATCTGTGGACATCAAAGCAATCTTGTCTAATAGCATAATGATTAATGGGGCTTGGCTGAAGCAGGGTAACTTTGAAGGGAAATATTTAGCTGGCAAGTAGCTTTAACTTCTTCCAATAGAAAAAGTATTTCTTAAAATGTATTTGCTTCCCTTTAACACAGGTAAAGTACCTTGCTGACAGTGTTTTGAAAGACTTCTGCGATACTTTTAAGGAGATTGTTATAGTGTATCCTCGTGTGGAATTTTGGCTTTGTTTTTTTTGTCTATTTTCATTGAGCATTCACTTGTGGAATTAGTCTGAAAATGTGCTGTATTGAATGACATACACTGAAAGTCTCTCTCTTTTCTTGTGAGAAACAAGATTCCTTTTGCAACCTGAAAGCCTCTTTGTGTGTGGCAGGAGTGAAATACCTTCTGAGAAACATGAAGCTCAGCAGATGCTCTCTTGAAGGTGTCTGCGCAGCCATCCCTTGGACTGACTGCTGAGCTTATTACTTTTGTGTTGAATTGTCTGCTTAAAGCAGCACTGAAAATTAATGCTCATTCTAGCACTTGTACAGCACTGTGAAATACACAAGATACAGAAGAAACTACTCTCCCTTCCCCACAAATTATGTGTAGAGAAACAAAATGCTGGGTGCATCATTGTGCATTGGCTCACCTTTAGTTTTAGATTTAAATGTTGTAGTGCCATGTAAGAGCGTAGCCATAGTGGGCATCTGAAAGGACTCGCTGTTAGCAGCCTGTTGGGTTTCAACTATGCTATTCATATGATTATTTCCTCCCTCCAGCTGTTTCCACAAATTGGAAAGGCTTTATTTCGGTTTATAAATGCCATTTCTCCATTGTTCATACCCACAGATATTTTCCATGCCCAAATATCCATCCTCCCAAGAAAAGAAATCCTGACCCTATAAAAGAAGGTATGTGGAAGGATCCTTTGAGGAGAAAGTGCAAAATGGCACAATATTTGATTTGCCATCTGCAAAGTTTCAACAGCTGGTATTCCTCTGTTGTGTGTCTGTGGGTGGGGACATGGGGCACAGAGCAGAATATGAGTGTTGCATTGGGTGTGGTTGCATTTCCAAAGAGCTCTCATTTTTTGTGTTGTGGCTCCAGCTTTCCCATTAAAACTGGAAGGGCCAAAACTCCCTTCTGTGAGAATTGAATGGAGTAGTTGCTTGATGTTTTGCTACAGCATGAGGTGAATTTATCACACACAGAGAGACTCCAACCTCACTGGGTTTTTGATCAAAAGACTGGTCAAAAAGTTGAGAAAATGCAGTTTTCTACAAGAGCAGAGATAATACCTTGAAGCTGCCATGAAATTAAACTGCACTTTGAAAAAAACCCTCAAACTTCAAACCATTTTCTCACATACATTTTCTTTAGAGCCTCACCTAGAACACAGTTACTGTGAAGAATCAGCCAAAGTGAATTTCATGTTTTTCACACCTTTAGATTCCCTAGGATCAGAAAAAAACTTCTTAACATGACTTTTGCATCTAAAACATAGGATGAAGTAAACCTGTTGCATGTGGATGTCCCATCATGCATTCTTCTTTAGATTAAATGGGAGAATATTTGTTTGGGAAAAATGAGGTAGGAGTTCAGATATTAAGTAATAGGCACACACTAGAAGAAAGAGGCAGTTTTTCCATCAGGAAGCTTCAGGAATTCATGCTCTGTAGGAACCTGTGAATCCTGGTGCATTTTAACACCTACAAATTTCTACAGAAATTATCAGTTAGAACATCTCATCCCTAAATCATCATATGAGTAGCTAGTCACAAAAGGTATTTGAACTGGATTCATAATCTTATAAATCTTTACCTTTTGGAGTTGCAGAAGGCATTTTTTTTCATTGTAGCAGGGTGGAATTTGCTGTCAGTCAGCTTTTGTCCACTGTGCACTGGGCACAGGTACAATTTTATCTTCCTCTATAACACAAATCCCCTTCCTGGCACCACAAAAATGTTCATAGATATTTATCTACCTTTTGGAGCACTAGGACTGAGTTTTGAATGAATTGTGGCCAAGTTCGTGGTACCAATGGAAACCACATGGAATCTGGCAATGCAGATTTCATGCCAGACAAAACTGTTTCATATCTGTCTTGAATGTTTTGATTTGTTCATTAATCAAACACAAGTGAAAATACATTCACAGGAAGCTGATACTGAAGAGTTTCTGTGTAATAGATTTTTTTTTTACCTTAAAAGATTAATTCTTTTGTGATGGTGGAATTTTTAGTAGGAAAGTGTTATTTATATACTCTGTGTGTATACTTTATTCTGCTAAATTTACTTACTGGAGAAGAAGTTTTATTTGTGAAGTTTATTATCAGATTGTGCTTGCAGTACCTCTATCTGTAGCAATTTGTTTATTCCTAGATGCACATTTTAAATTCTCTGTTACCCGCTATTAGGAAGATGAGTGTGTATGCACCTGAACTGAAGGAGGAACAGTGAAAGGAGTAGGAAACAGGAGAGAAGTCGGAGCTGTAATTTCCTTTCTCATATCACCTTCTATGAACAGTAGCAAAGGAGTGTCTGAAACTAGAGTTAAGGTGAGAACTGCATAAGCATAAACTCTATGAAAGAAGAATAGAATTGTAGAACCTTTCACTAAATGACCTGTATGCTATCAGAGAATAAGCGGAGGTGGAAGGGACCTATGAAGAGCATGGAGCCCAACTCCTGGCCTTGCACAGGACACCATAAAAGTCACACCAGGTGCTTGAGGGCATTGCCCAAATGCTTCTTGAGCTGTGTCAGGCTGGTGCTGTGACTACTGCCCCAGGGAGCTGTTCAGTGCCCAAAGACCTTTTGAGTGAAGAACATTTTCCTAATATCAAGCCTAAACTTTCCCTGGCAAAACTTCGGGCTGTTCCATAATTGATAATAGCAAAATCTGCTTTGACAGTTTTGTTGTGAGTAGGTAGGTCCAGTTCTTAAAGTCTGGTTGATGCAGAGTTATTGTCTACAGTAACCACACTTCAAAAGAAACAATAAAAATATTTTTGTATAGGGAGCAGATCCAAATTGCACTTCTGCTGCATTCAGCCTAAAACCATAGGAAAGAAGAAAAGAAAGATGAATTCCAGCTTTAGTGCCAGTGCCATTCTAAAGCTTGCTCAAATATGGACTCCCATGACATGGGGAAAGTTTGAGTCAAGCACTGCTGTAGGCTCACTCATGTTTGAAGCAAGCGAGCACTTGTGTTCAGATAATAGAATTTATACCCTGGTCTTGTTGTGAAGAAGATATTTCCATATGGGTGCTATACCAAATTTACCCCACTGTGTGTGGAATGTTTTCTGCTTGGCAAAAGGCCAAAATGTTCCCTGCAAGGGAGAAGGGGCTGAAATTTTATCTGATCAGAGTGTTAATCTGTGTCCCTTAGGCTTATCTTGTGGCTGTTTCTGTGTTGCAAGGGCAATGCTGCATATGCCTTTTCAATGAGATCATTGCAAATTCAAATTGCTATTAAATTATATTTTACTCACAGTTTTGAACTGAGCTAAAGTAGGAGCACCAGTGCTAAAACTTTGAGTAGAAATGTTGGTGCTGGAGCAACATTCCAAAAGCTGTCTGGATAAAATTAATGATTTCACACAAATATTTCAAGTTAAGGTTACGTGTTTCAATATTGTTAAACATAAGTGGTAGCACATTATGGCACTGCAGCCAACCTGGAAACAAGAAATGGGGACTCTATTCCTGCACACACTGGCTACTTGTTATTCCTGGACACATCCAGCTGACTGTAAGGGCATGGGATCACATTTTCTACCTGACACGTTTCTGAGGCTGTGCTCTCCCGTGCCCTCTCTGGCATTACAGATGTTCAGACTTGGATTGCAAGCAGAGAAGTGGGATTTGGGAAGCTTGGGAGCATTCTTCACAGGCCTGTGTGACAGGGGCAGTGCTTGTCTGACAGCCCCTGTGGGTCTCTCTCTCCCCAGTCTGAGAACAAACCAGTTCAGGCTGTAATGCTCCTCTGTGTCAGGTTTACTCCTGCTCTGTGGGCTGTGAAGAAAGATTGTTCCCTCAGCAGAACTCTCCAGCACAGTGAGTCTATTCAAGTCTGCATCTGGGAAGATAGTTAGTGCCTTCATTTATGAAATTCCTATCATAGAAGTGTGAGTTCTTTGCAACAGCGGCTGGTCTCTTGAGAAGTTTCCAACATGTCATGTACACAGCTGCATGTAAATCATTTTCATAAAAGGAAAGAAGAGAAGCTCTTTCAAATCATCAAATACCATCTCCCAGCGTGTGAAGGTTTAAAAGATATGTGATACCATTCACAGTTTGTTTGTGGATTTGTTTCTGTTTGTCTGCTTCTAAACCCCTGTGGTTCCCTCCTGCCACTCTGGATGCGGTGTGCCTGGGAACAGAGCTAGAGTTTCTGTGGCTGCTGCCTGGTTTTCTATCTCTGCTGGGAAAGGCTGCTGCTGCTGCAGAAATCCTCAACAGAAACTCCACTGGCAGGAGCCACTGTCCAGAGTGGTTTGGTGGCTGCAATCAGTTCCAGTGGGTGGATGGGGAAGTGTTTCCCTGCCTCCTCCTACAAGGAATGTTAAAACAGGTTTAAGTGTTTCCAGTTGTTTCTCTGCCTAGTGGTTGGAGGCTTGATGAAAGGTGATTTATAACACTTTTGCTTGTGGTAGTTTGTTGAAACTTTCCTTTCATGCAGATGGCAAAGGTCAGTGCTGTGGGAGCTGAACCCTTTCCTTGGGAAAGCGCCTCTGCTGATGGCTGTGGATACCTGTGACTGAGCCATAGGTGGGAAGGTACTGTCTTCAACTCACAATCAGCTTGTGGTAGTAAGGGAAGAAAGCTTGTTTACGTGGCTGTTATAAAGCCTGGGGATATCACTGAGGACCATGATATCATTTAATTTTCAATACATCCAGTTCTTTATAATCTTATCTTATAAAAATGTCCTTTTCTAGGAAGAAACAGCTCCTTCTCTGTTGGATCTTACCGACATTTTTTACATTTGTGAAGGGCAACTCTTGAAATTCCTTCTGTTTCTTCTACTGGCTTTTCGGTGTAGATTCACACTTTCCTTTTTTTTCTTCTTGGTTTTAGTGTGGAAGAGTCAAATTCCAGCAAGGCTGACTTAGTGAAAACTGAATTAGTGTTGATGGCTGGAGAGAAATGTAACTTGATCTTCTGTCTCCAGTGCTTGAATCAGGAACTGAAATAATTGTTGTAAGACTCTGGTCAAGTTGCCAGAAAATGGAGCGGTGCTTCTGCCAGATGGTCACCGCAGAAGTGCCAGACATTCCTCCCCTCTTTAAGCCTGCAAGTGTGTGTGTTTGAGAAGGAAAATACACATAGGCAGCAGGGAACTGAAATGCTTTTCTCCCTCAGATGCTTGCTGAGTGTGCAGGGCTGTGCTGTGGGCAGCGCCCATAGGGATATCGGTGTGTGATGGCAGGCGAAGGGAGGCAGGCACAAAGGCTTGAGCACAGCAGATGTCTCTGTTGAGCAGTGACATTAGTCACTCTGTCACAGGGCTTGACAGAAAATATGTGGTAAATCTACCAGAAATGGGGCTGCAGGGCCCATCATACAGCAAGAGAAGCTAGCTCAGTGCCTGAAGGAATTGTGGCTCACTGGAAGAGATGATGTTGCCTGTCAGCTGTGGAGCCCAGCTGTACTGGTTAATGATTGGTGCCTTTAATTGAAACCATTGTGCACTACTACAGCCCTGTCTTGTAGGAACTGCTGGTGCCATAAATCTTGGTTTTTTCCATATTAGAAAGCTGTGTTCTTTGGGGATGTTGAAGTGTCTCAGACTTTTTTCTTCCCTGCCACATTTTTGTTGCTATAGCTACTATAATTTTCATTAACAAAGGGAATAAGGAGTAGTTTGCTCTGCTTAGTTTGTTATTGTCATTCTGCTATATTGTCATTCTGCCAATATTCTCTCAGTCATTTCTCTTCTCTTTTTTCTACAATCTCCCTTAGAACCAATTCTGTAAAGACTGCAGGAATCTAGGAACTGCAAGTCTCCTGCAATCACTGCAGGGCTGTGTGAGTGGGGGGGAATGAGGCTTCTACCCATGAATCAGGGACTCAAAAACTTGAATTTAGATTTGAGTTTGTGTATTGAATCACCAGTTATGCAGACCCTGAGAACTTCTCACTCATGGACTTGAACTTGCTTTGCAGGACTGCAGCAATTTCTTTCTCTTTTGGTGAAGTCTTATGCCAGTATTGCAGATCCATTTTTCTTGAAGCATCTTAGATAAAATTCCAAGTTTGTTCCATGAGGAAGATTTTAGCCGTGGAATGAAAACATCCTCAAACATGAGGAACAGTGGGCTGTTTTCTCTGGGGGACATGGAGTGTGTTCCCAGTGTGGAAGGGGGAAAAGGGGGCTGTATTTATCTTCTTACCTGGGGTTTCTTATTGCCCTTTCATCTTTCTGAAAAATCTCTTCACTTTCCTGTTTCCCATTTGTGTTTTTCTCACAGTATGTTAGCTATCCTTCACTTCACCTTTGCTCTACCGGTCTTGAACTCTTCTGATGTTTGTCTGGACCTCACCCCTCCTCTCTGCTGCTTTTTTTGCCTGCATCCTCTCTTTCAGCAGCTAGGAAGGAGGTTGGGGTTCACTCATTTTTCTGGTTCCATGCTTCTCTCTGATAATTCTTTACTTAGTTGTCTGAGGTGGGAACTTAGGTAGGGCATGGACAGCATGTTTCAGTCAGGCTGCTCACACCTCATTGCAGTTCATCCTCCTGGGAGCACAGGGGACTTGGGCTTGTTTCTTTTGGCTTGGGACATGTAGAGTTGGAAGGAGAGGGAGGTGATGGCCAAGGTGTTCATAGACATGAAGGGAATCTGAATCAGAAAGCCACTGTGCATGAGAGAGCTGCTCATTGCCTCAAATCAGGCCAGTTTTATGACTATCTCTGGTACAGCAGGGGTATTTGGAGATTTGGATAGATTCCTGAGGTAGTAGGAAAAATAGGAGCACCTTTGAGAAAATGGGCCATTCAGCCAGATGCCAGAATGTGGGTGGTGGGCTTTAATCTCTGGCACTGAATTTGCAGATCTTACCTCTAACCTGTGGCTGAAATCCATGTCAGAGCTCCAGCACAGCTCAGAGCTTCTGCATCCTGCAGATGTTGTTTTAAGTGCAAGAATGTAATTTCTAAATGTAAACAGATACCTTCCTGAAAGGTTCCTGCACAAATCCCTAACACAAACAATGGACTTAGTTGCCATCCCATTTGTTGCTGCTTATGTCTGTGTCCAGGTTCACTTCTGGATGTACTTTGGATACAGGGGAATTAAGATCTTCTCTAGGGGAATTAAAATCTTTTGTGTGCCTTTCTACAGATTCCCTGGGTAACTGCCAAGAGCTGAAAAGACAGACCCAATGTTCTCATAGCTTTGGACAAGCCAAGACAACTTTGGCCAGTGTTTTCTACTTACATCCATGAGGTCTCCAGCCCATACCTCATCCTCCCAGGGTGCTTTTATATCATCATATTGAGACAGTTCATGCAAATTAATAGTTTCTTCCTTGGAAGCATTAGCACTTCCAGCTTGGGTATCAGGACAGGACCTGCTTCTGGGAGATACTGGCTCAGAACAGTCACTAACACACAGTGATCTAAGCAGAAGGAGATGGATGGTATCACCACAGGTCAGCTCTTGACTGTATTGAGGTATCCAAAGATGATTGCCCTTCCTCCTATCGTGTGTCATTACAACACTTTGCAAGGCCTATAACTGCTAATAATTTTACAATTCTTACTCTAGCAGGGCTCTGAGTGGGAGCCACATGTGCCTGACAGGAAGGGAGGTGTGCTGACAACTCTGGGCACAGCAGCTTCCTCTGTAGGATGGCTGTGACCCGTGTTTTTCCTCAGATGATGCTCTAACAAATCAAAACCTACAGCACTTGCAAAACCAGGGTACTTCTCAGCTGTCTGGCAGACTTTGTCAGTCAGCCTTGGTGTGAGGAGGAGGGTTCAGTCATGGGTGTCAGCTCAACTGGGAAGTTCCTTCTAAGACTTTTGTTTTTGTTTGTTCGCTCTGTGAATTGTATTGGGATGTTTTTAGGACTGGTCACACCCTGTGGGAAATACCAAAGGACATTTTCTCATCTCTATTTTCTCATTTATTGTATCCTTTGTGACACAAGAGATATTAATGAAAAAGCATCTTTGTTCCTCAAAGCTCTATTCCTTAGCAAATATATAATTTGGTTTTTGTGTCACAAGAAGCAATTCATTATTGTGCAGATGGTGTTAATGTCACTATTAGAGCATTATGACTTCACTGAGGAGTAAGCAACAGGTGAGCTCCTGAGACTTAAATGGTTGTTTTTATGCAAAATCCTGAGGATGAAGGGAAAGAACAAAGGAAGAATCATATCAAAGCTTTCTGTGTATGTTGGGCATAGTTTCTAAGTAGACCTTCTCTACACTGGTGTCTCAAATCAAGACGTTTAAGCTTGAAATAGTCAACATATTTTTTAAAACCCAAATATTTTCTTTAGCCTACACAGGGAAAGACTAATTTCTGATTCAATAACGGACACATTTTCTGTCCATGCCTCCTTCTCTAAATGTCTTCTTCCTTGATTTTCATGTTGTTTTCCTTTCATTTGGAAGCAGTGATGGCCCTAGGATTGCTAAGGGTAATAGAGGAGTTTAGCCCTAAGTTCTTACCTAGTTCAGGCATTAGGTTTGGACTGCAGTGTATTTCAAGTGAGGTCTCTTGTCTCCACCAGGTATTGCCCATTTTCAATTAAGGGGGCGGGGGAACTATAGCTTGAGAGAAGATAAATGAAGTAATAAGGTAAAGTAGGGTGAGGAAGATAGAATAAAGGCACAAAATAGGAAAGAACAAGAACATCAGAAAAGGGACAAGCATTTTAGGTGGCAGAAAAACAGGAAAGGAGGGTGAAGGGTGTGTGGAGAGCTGTCTTTGATTTAGGCAGAGTGCCTGGGGGAGGTAACTTCTCTTCCTTCCAGTAAGTGCTGCAACGTCAGTTTTGCAGTAGTACCAGTTCAGTTCAGTGGGGACCAAACTGCTGAGAGGGAGGTTTGGGCATTGCAAGGGTCAATGGCAACCAAGTTCACCACTCCTGCTGGTTATAGCAGGAAGTTTGTGCTAGAATTAAAGTTGCCACCTAGCTGCAAAAGCTTAGCAGAGAGATTGGTCACTGATTTGGTTGAAAACAAGCTGTGGCTTATAGGGCGGGAAATTTTGGATGAGCCCGTGGAGTTAATCCCAGTCCAGAGAACAGGTATTCCTGATGGAGTCTGGCAACAAGGTTCTCAGGAGTCTCTGTAGGTGCCCTCTCAAGGCAGGAATCTTTAAATATTTTATTGGGCTTCCCAGTTCATCAGAACTGACATGGTTCTGGAAGGACATAATTATCTGTTTTACTGGAAGGGAGCAGGCAAATTGCCACAAAGCAGGCTGCAACTCCTAAACAAAAGTTCAGCTGCACTACACCTCTTGACATGTGGGCAAGCTCCCTTAAAGCACTCAGAAAAGCAAATTAATTTGTTAAACTAACTTCTTAATGGCTACAGCAATTCTGTTGCAGCTACGGTTAAGGGAAAAATAAGTAGACACATAAATTATTAAAAATATATTTTTGAAAGTTTGTATTTGTTGCAATTTTCCAAAAACATGAGTTTGTTTTAGCAGCCTGTAGTTCTTCCCTGTTATGACTTCCTGTTATGTCTCAAGGTCTCTGCTGTGTGGGACAGACCAAAAGAGTAATATTTTCCCATATTTTCCAGATCCCAGATCAGTGGAATTTCAAGGGGAAGGTAATCTGCATTAAAAACTCAATCACAACTCAAGATCTCAAGTAGATTTCAAGGCATGTTAATGATGATGCCAGGAGAGGGCTTATTTAGAGGCTTCCTTCTCAAGTCATCAGACACCACATGTAGATTCTTCTGGGTTCATTGATATTCACCTTCCACAGAAAAAGAGGAAGGAATCAGTTCTTAGAGTGTGCTAATTGTGTATTAGAAAGCAGGAGTCTTTCTTAAGCTATAAAACAATTAAAATGTTGTGTTGCCTTGACTTTTCAGGGGCTCACTCCAAGCCTCACTCCTCAACCCATTCCCATTCACAGCTTTTTTAGTGAAAAAAACCAACAACTTCCACTTTTTCAGTAGTGGGACAGAGAGTGGGTTCTTCCAAAGTGTTGGGATGTTTCAAGAAATTGAGGATAATTTTAAACAGCAGAGAGGAGAAGCAGAAGGTTTATCCCTCTAGGGGCTCACTCCAAGCCTCACTCCTCAACCCATTCCCATTCACAGCTTTTAGTGAAAAAAACCAACAACTTCCACTTTTTCAGTAGTGGGACAGAGAGTGGGTTCTTCCAAAGTGTTGGGATGTTTCAAGAAATTGAGGATAATTTTAAACAGCAGAGAGGAGAAGCAGAAGGTTTATCCCTCCCCTGCTAATACCTGTTAATGGAATTAGACATTCAGTGGTGCTGTACTGTTCATTAGCCCAAAGTGTGATGGCTTTCAGTGCCTCATAAAAAAACTCCAAGCTACAGCTTAATTAAAAAAGTGTAAGTATACCATAAACGGGGGAAGATGATCTGTAAGGAACATTCTGTCATTGGAGCTTCTTGCAATGATAAAGATCTCAGGAAACATCCACTTTGTAGCAGCCCTTTTTTGTCAGAATGCTGAACCTTGCCTGGCAGGAGCAGCAGATCCCATGTTGCCATCACCTAATTTCTCATATTTGCCGTCATCTTTAGTTTTTGATCCTGATAAATGGTTTGTGGATTTTTCAGGCAAAATTGATATAATGATTCTACCATTTGGGCTCATTAAATTGCCCATTTGAGAGCCATCCTAGTAAAATTAGTGAAACCATGTCTGGAGCAAAGCAAAAATTATGGCTAAGTAAGGAATTCAGATGAATTCTTTACATTTACAAATAAAACAGAATTCTGCATTTTTAGACCAGGTTTGTTAGATGGTTTATGAGACAATGTAGAATCTGTGTGACATGAATAGTTTTGGATTTGTTTTTAACAATATGTCACAAGACTTGAGAGATTTTTTGAAGAATAATTTGCAAATACTGTAATGTGGAATGCTCTCACCCAAGCCCAAGGGATGTGCTTCTGACCCTACAAAGATTCAATAAACTTGCAGGCTGTCAGACTCATTTGAAGGCTATAAAATAACTTTCTACATAACCATAACTTTCTTTCCTTGTTTCTTTGTCTATTTTATTTTTCTCCCTTTATTTTTGGGATTATGTGGATTGGTGGGTGAGTTTTTTGGGTGATATAAGTCCTTCCTTGCAGGCACCTCTATAAATGGCTGAATACTTTTCTGCCATGTTCATGTTGTTTGCAGTTTTTCTGCATATGCTGGGATGATATCAGCATCATCTGCATTAAAATATTCATCCAAAATAAGCATTAAAGGAAAATTGAATAGAAAAGTCAGTTGATATCACCATATATATCATAGTCCCAACTGCATGGGAAGAAACACACTTATATCAGTAAATTTGACATATCTTGAGAAATTGTATTTAAGAACTCAATTTATCTTTAGTTGAAAACAAACCACTTTGTTCTACTTGACATTTAAGAAGGCTTTGAAATGTAACATTTAAATAATCACTCCTTTTAAATGTTGATGATGATGATTTCTATCAAGCTTTGATGTACTTTTCTTCCCTCCTCTCCCATCTGATTTTGGGTATGGGAAAAGTGAACTCTCAAAACCAGCAGCACAGAAGCACACTATATTTTTTTAATGTGTCAGATTAGTCGCCCATCTTTTTTGAGGATCTATTCAGCTTATTTTTATCTTGAACAAAAAAGCAAGTCCTGGAAAATTCATGTTACACATGCATGTTAAGAGCTATTGTTCTCCTTACACCGTGTTTATCTCTCTTATTTTTCTCACATTAAGTGCTAATAAGTGATTTAGATTTAACACAATAAAAGTATTGAACTGGTGTGTAGAAAACATTAAAAAAACTGCTTACTCTCTGTGGAATATACAGTCCTAGAAAGCTTGGCCAGCATTAGCAGGCTGCCTTTTTTTGTCCCAAGCAATCCCTTTTCCAGTCGGAACAGGCAGTTCTGTAACAGTCCTGTAATCTTGATAATGTAACTCTAACAATAACAATGAGACACTGGAGGAATTTAGGGAGCTTCAGTGTAGAAAAACATGTTACCAACCAGGGGGAAAAAAAAAATCTCTGCTTAATCTGGGAAAATTGATACAAGGCAGCAGAGAAGGACAAGTAGACCTGCAGTCTGTGGTCAGCATGATTGACTCTGCCTCTGGAGCTGCAGTCTGCAGATTTTCTGACCGTGTTTGTGGCAGAACCGCTTGGAATAAAATGGTTTAAAGAATGTCTTTTGACTGTGATATGTCTGTTATAGCAGGGATTTTTGTGTGTTGTCAGCCCGCAGCTTGTTTTGCAGCATCACGTTACAGTGGCTTCTCAAGCAGTCTGGACTTCCTGTGGGTTTGAGTAAACAAGAAGTTTCGTAACACTCCTTATTTTTGCATTAGCTGTGCTGTTAATGGTCATAAAAATTGGTAGTTCTGGTCAGACCCTGGGTGGCAGTGCTGTAAACCGTGGTAGATATTTTAGTTTATAAACTAAGCAGCATCTTAGAAACCACCCAGACTGGTGCCAGCAGAGCCACAGAATCCTTCATAAATGACTCCTGTAGCATCAGGTGGAGTAAATACTGTTCCTTTTCTTTCTCAAGGGACTTTGCTGGCATTTTAGGAATCTTATCATGACATGAAAATACATTTCTCCCCCATTTTGCAAAATATTTCTCAAGGGATTACAATGACAGAAGAAATGGCCACTAAGAGCTGTGCTTTACACTGGAGAAACATGGGATATAGTCAATGGAGGGGCTAATGATATCCCAGTTATATTAGGGATTCCTGCTTTTGCATCCCTTGGATGATATCCTGGTTTTATCCATATCATCATGTTCTCCCTTCAGCCACAGCATGACATTGCTGTTAAGAGAGCAGAATGAAGGCAAAATAAATCATGGTACTGGGCTGTTGCTTTGCCAGTGTGAGCAATGTCACAGAAGTGAGACCCATCTTTTGGGCACACAACTTTATACACAAGGCTGAAATTAAGTTCAATGCTTTTGGGATTAACAAATAGTTAAAAAACCAGCCAGGAATTGATAAAGATTCTTTATATTACCTGAGGTTTTAAAAGTGTCCTAAGACAGCTTTACTTAAAGAATCCTGAGGCCAATAGAGAAAATCACTTGTGACATTTTCATATCACAAGCAGATTTGAAAATTATATTCAAAAATCCATCATTGAATAAATTTCACTATTAGAATATGTTTCCATAATAGAGCTCTACTTTAAGGGTGTGAAAGATTTTTTTATTCTTTGGGATAACTGTGGTGTGGTCAAACTTCCAGTCACAACTATGGTGTTTGCAAGTATCACTCAGTGCTGTTGCTGGGATCTCCACATACCCTGGTGGATGGAAGAACCACACCAAACCTGTGATCTTTTGTCAAGTTGCTATCAAGCTCTGTTCATCAGACAGGCCAGCACCTGAAGCACACACCTACTTCTCATAAGTTATTTCCATTTATAGCACTGGGCTGTGATAAACTTGGCTGTGGATGTGCAATAGCAGCAGTAGAGGGTTTCGTTTTTCAGGATCATCACTACACTGATTGCATTTTGTAGAATGAAAAGCAACCTGGACTTCTGCCTTTACACAGAATAGTAGTTCAAGGAATTAATTGCCATTTGGGCTTCTTGAAGCTTAATTGACTTTTCTTCTCGCAGATATCCACGTTTCTAGAAAGCAGAAATGACCATGACTGCCAACAAGAACAGCAGTGTCAACAGCAGAGCAGGAGGGAGTAAAGTGCCCCAGGACACTCTGGATAGGTAAGTAGAGACCTGCAGGGTTTGTAGATTTTGAGTAAAGTCTGTCTGTGTTTGGCACAAGATGCCTGTTCAAGGGTAAACAACCTCTATTCTGACAGAAAGAGAGCTTTGCTGGGCTGAGGGAATTCTTTTGTATGGAAAAAGTTTTCTTGTTGAAGAATTGCTGCTCATGGGCTGGTTATGATGGGAGTGGTTGCAAGGAACGACCTGTGTTGAAGGTGCTGTATAGATCTCAGAAGTTTTGGGCTGAATTCCTCAGCCATGTGATTACATGCCAGCTTTCCTGCCCTTCCAATCTCCAGCTGGTGTTTTGTGTTGGTTTGTGTCACATTTCCTCTGCTGTTTCTGCCTTCACAGACCATGGTCAGACCATTTCCTGCTGTGGGTCAGGCAGTGGGTGGGAAAGGGCTGAATGTAAAGTACAGGGCTCATCTCTGCTACTTTGCTTATTTGTCCTTTCTGTAGCATTACAATAATTTGCATAGTAGATTACCTTTGTAATGCAAAGCTAGAGGAAAAACTATACTTTTTAAAATGTGGAGTCAAAGAAAGATGCAGACATCCAGCATCCATTCGGTTTTTTTTATTAGGTGTATTATGCTGTGGTAGAGCTTAGCAGAGGTGGGCTCCATATCCGAGTACACTTGCCAGTTTGTGTGTTGGCCATCTCCTAGTACAAAATAGTAAAAAGATAAAATGATGAGGGCCAGGGTTGCTTAAGGAATTTCTAGAGTGATATTAATATACAGATATTAAAAACAGTTCCTTATTGATCTCTGGAATTCTCAAATTGTTTATTGTCCTTCCACCAGTGCAGACAGATTGGTGCTGGGAACTTGGGTCTAGACTTTGGCAAACTTTGGACGAGTCTTTTGTTTCAAAATCGTTTCCATTCTGAATAGCTTAGAAAGTACTGTGGGATACTAAGTTATTGGATAGTAACTGTCAAATAAACTGTCTTTCCTTATCATCATCATCATCTGTTTTGATTACAATTTGTCAGGGAAGAAATTTTCTAAGTACAAGTAAGAGCCTGAAGCTAAGGCCAATCTTTAAGGTGCACTTGCACAGCAAGGGACGAGATGAGTAGGTGGTCATGCATCACTTCTCCATCCATTATTTTGCCTTATGTAATCTTCACCTGTCTCTGAGAAATGCTGCGAGAGGATGTTATTTGAGTCAACCATGAGCATTCTTCCTTTGAGTCAGACTGTAAATCAGTGTTGTAAGTGCTGGCATCATAAAAGTTTAAAGCTTGCAAAATTTATTGTAAACATGTTCAAAGATTCACTTAAACTGAGCAGTCACTGTCTCTATCTATTGTGGGATTTGACTGGGCATTTGGAAACCTGAAAATGTTCTTTACAATCTGTGGCAGCAGAGTTTCACTTAGTGCTGATACTGGCATAACACAGGTGTAGCAGTCTCCTGGTTGCTAAGATATATCTTTAAGAGTTATTTTCTTGTCAATCTTAGTTTTGGTGGGGTTTATTGTTTCAAGATTGTTCAGTTGATGGTCTTAACGGTATTTTCCAACCTCAATGATTCTGTGATTCTAAGATGCAAGGTGTGATTCAGGGATATGGTGACATCAGCTGGTTCAACATTTTGTGATTCCTTATAGGTCAGAAGCAAAGGTCTCCAGAAGACTTTGTAGTTACTTTGGCTGTGATTCAGATCCCTGTAGATCATGGATTTAAATTTTAATAATAAAAATCCTCAGTGGAAAGAAGGTGCCTCCATGTAAACATCCATACAGCTTTGCAGGCATTAAGATTCTTGTGGTAACTAAAATTCCCTTGGTCCTCACCAGAGTGAGAATCAACTGTCATGAATCACCAGAGGCATTTTTCCTCCAGAGTTGTTTGAATGGCACTTCAGGAAATGAAGGAAAGACAGAGAACAGAGCAAGGACATTATCTGGGAGGATAACTGTGAGTTTCACCTGAGAATCTGGTTGTGGGATTCATGGGTTTCTGCTGTGAGCATAGGAGGGGAAAAAGAATCTTGGATCTGAAGAAACTGAAGTGTTTTAAACAAAACCACACTAATGTGTTTTTTTTAAAGTTACCTGAAGTTCATTCACCACTTGTTAAAAACTGAGATTTTTGTGTGTGTTAGGAGAGAAAAATTGACTGTGCTCTGAATGGGAACATTTTAGAAAGATGACAAGGGTGGTTGAAGGTAGGAAACATTTTGACTACAAGACAGGAGTAGATTTATTGTGACTCTTCATCCTAGAAGGGAAATGATTGAAGGGGACGAGGAGTATCTGGAGGAAATGATATATAGAACAAAGATGATAAATAGGGAAAAACCACTTTTTCCATTTAAGAACTAATAAAAATCCAATTAAACCAGAAGACAACAGGTTGGGAATCAGTTGAAGAGAAGGCACTTTTCAGCAGCATGTTTTTAAACCATTAAACTTACTGTTATGTGATGCTGCAATCAGACAAATCCATGGAAGAAAAATCTTCCAAAGCCTTTTAGTCACGGAAATGAAATCTCTGAGTCAACAGACTTAAGCTGGTTAAGTTGTGCTGCACGTTCTTATTCTCTTCTCCAGGCACCTGCTAACTGTCATGGTCAGTGACTGAATCTTGGACCAAGAATGCTATTTTGGTCCAAGCCAGAGGGAACATTCTGATGTTGTTTGGAACAGGAGTCAGTTACAGGAAGCAAATTGGAGAAATTGCAGAAGGATTGTTATGCTTACATAAAGGAGACTCTGGCTTTCCGTGAACTTCCAGGGTACAACTTTAATCCTTCCTTGTGAGTCACTGAGGTGAATGCCAAGGAATGGAAGGATAGGAAAGCACCTTGTGTGCAGTTGGAAGTGACTTAGCAATTCTGGCAGGAAGCAGCTCTGTGAAATCTTCTTAATCTTTCAGCAGGGGACAAAGGAACCCATAGCATGATTGCAGCTAGTGCACAACCATGACCCTGTTGCATCAAATGAGTTTGATTGCACCATAACTATGAGGATCAGGGTAACTCTGAGGAAACCTTAGGAGAACAGAAGTTACAGAAAGGCATAGTGGTGTTTGTGGCTCTCTCTCCTTACAATGTGGCTTGCTTTCCCTCAGCAAATGATTTAATATTTATCTGGAGTATTTGATTTTTATCATAAACTCTGTTTGTTATTAGGTATTTGTCTAAAACTTGTGTTTTCTCCAGTGCAAGCAAAGGTAAATGTAGAAATGGCACTACTGTCTTTGACTTAAAAATCACTGTATAAAAATCACTACACTGCACTGTATTAAAACAGGCCAATAGTTATGTCTATGAAGTCATGCTCTAGTTAGCAAAATGCAGATTTCAAACTTGTAGTGTAACAGATACAAGGAGTAAAAGAAAATCCTGAACAAAAGATTTATATATTAATATATCATTATATCTTGAAATTGCAGCTCAGTTTGAGATGCGAGATGCAACAAGGACCCATCCAGAGCTGAAAAATATTTAGAGTTGTGAGGCTACATAACTTCTGTAAATAATTCTGAATGTCTGCCTCTGGCTAATCTGCCATCTCTTAACTCTGCAACTCAAGGCATTTTATACATTTGAGCCTTCTCAAATGCTGCAGTAACTGAAGGACAGGAAGGGTTTGTTTTTAGAGGACCCCACTGATTTAGTTTTGTATCTGAGTTTATTGTCTGAGGCATAAATAACATCAGATATTGGAGATACATACTTCTTCCAGTGTATTTGTAAGTGGCAGAATTTTTCTTTGCGTGCAAAACTTTCTGTGGTGCACGGTGTGCCTTATGTATGGGTCCCAACTTGGAGAATAGAAGAGGGCTTTGGAAATCTCAAAAACAATTACAGTGAACAAAAATTATGTTTGCAGCAGATAAATGTTTTACTTGCATGGAAACTTTGGTAGAATATATAGAGGGACTGCCATGATGAGCTAGAATAAACATCTCTCAAATTTAGTGTCTCTGAGTTTGATTTGGGAGGAGATAGCCAAGGTAGAAACCAGCCCTGGTTCCCATTGTGGAAAAGGACTGTGTCTTAGGAAAATTGTTCTCAGAAGCTGTGTGTCCGAGGAAAACTGTGCCACTGGGATCACAAGTGTTTTGTCACAGTGTGGATTTTGTGATGTGAATTGTTGTCTTTCCACCCAATCTGCACAGGAAAGGTGGTGTCCTCACCAGAGGATGTTGGTGGAAGATGTTCTGCAGCAATCATGATTTATTGGCACAATAAACTGGGGGTGCTGATGTCAGGGGGTGCTATAGCAGGACACCAGAGATTTGTGCAAAGAAAGGATTACATCTGCAATTTGCCATGAGCACCAAGTTACAAAGTGTCTATTCAAATAAGGCTAATAAAACTTTTCTCAATACTTTTAGTTGAATCTTTGAACCAAACACTCTTAGTTAAAATTGAAATCTGATACAATGATTTGGATCTTCTTGCTTGGGAAGAACTGAGTACCCACAAACCTCTAAACACAGGCTTTGGTTTTTATCTCCCAGCAGCGTGTGAGGATATTACTGCTGTCACTGACAGTTTTCACCCCCATTAGCCTAACCTGCTGAGATATGTTTGCACTGGCTTTGTGCTCAAAACTTTTTATTTCTCCAGAATTTAAGTTAATAGGACAGAAATTTAATTGGTGGAGCTATCTTCCCTCCAGTGAAGGCAATAGAGAAGCACCACAGAATCTGGACTAATAAAACTAGACACCTTAGGAACATTTCAGGTGGATTATTTATAATTCTTTAAGTATTAAATAAAATAATGACTTACATTTCTTGACAAAGTAAGCCCATGGGTTGGTTACTAGAAATATTGTTTTGGGTTGGTTTCCTGTCTCCATCATGTACACAGGTCCATGCTCGGCTGTTTCACACGCACTGCAAGGTCCTGTGTCTTATTATTGCATTTCTCTCAAGGCAGAAACAATCTTAGAATAGTCTTAGAAAACTTCTAGAAAAATCTTAGTTGAAGGAAGACTTTGTGCTTGTGCTTCCACCCTAAAAACCTGA